GAAGAATAGGTGCTATTGCCACTTTTTGGATTAAGCCTACGAGCGATTTAGAAATTGGTACATCATGTAATAAGAAGTAATTTTTGGAATAAGATGTCTATTTGAATAATATGTGAAGCCATTTGATTGGCTTCGTAATTTCCTGTGTGTGTCAGTCACTGAGTCTGTAATAATAACTATTTATTAAATGTATATGCCAGTCGACTCCCAACAACTCTGAGTGGTTACAGATAAAAAACATTTAAAAATATACGACGACAAAAATGGAGAGTAAGATGGAAAGAGTGACAAAAACTGGATGGAAACAAAAGAAATAAACCTACATAGTTCAAAGGTGGGCTTCACTCACCCTTGCCAAAGGCCTGGGTGAAGAGCCAGGTCTTCAAGTTCCTGTGAAACACCAGCAGGGTGGGGGTCACCCAAATCTCAGGGGGGAACCTCATTCCAGAGGGCAGGCATTGCTACAGAGAAGGCAGATTTCCAAGGTCCTGATAGATGGCATTGTTTAATCAAAGGAACCTGGAGCACACCAACTTGCCAGATCAAATAGGGGAGGCAGATACTATGGGAGACAGGCGGTCCCTCAAGTAACCAAGCCCTAGGCCACATTAATAAGATCAATGTAAAAGAGTATTGCAAGTACTTTGTTTTGCACTTTAGGATGTCCACTTTCCACTGAGAGGTCCCTGTGTTTATGTCCAATTCTCCTACTAGCATTAAATTCTCCATCCCAATTTTCCTAGTTTCTTTAATACTTTCCTAAGCTCTTAACCCTCATCATATCCATCTTCACCCACACATCCTCCCCTTACAATGATCCCTAAGTTCTTAATATCTATGTTCCCCTCCCTAAGCACCACTATCACCCCAATTCAATCTTAGAGGAGTGGGATAGAGGGATTCACAAGGGATCACTCTGAACCCCTTCATGGTCTAAATGGGGTAGTGTTTGGTTGTTCCCTTGCCCCCTCCCCATCCAATAAAGTATATATTTGTCTTAATAAATCAACTGTATATTTTCTTAAGTCCTAAGGCAAGTTATTTTTTTATATACTATGGAAGATCTTTAATTGATCAGTATAAAGAGTTTGTTTTGTTATTTTCCCCCTTTTACTCTTGCTTCAGTTAGAATCTTCCTTTATCTATAATCTTCCATCTACACTGTGTCTTTAGTCATCCTTCAGCATCAGGAGGAGTCTTCTTCAAATCTGCCAGAATTTTATTCAAGTTCTGAGTAGAAGAAATTATCTCTACTCCTTGTGGATTCAAAATTATAAATTTGAATGGAAATCCCACTTATAAAGAATTCCCATTTTTATCAACATTAAGTTAATAAAAACGGGAAATTTTTCCCATTTTTTATCAACAGAGTTACAACCTGACATAGCATTACAAAACTTAATGATTGGGAAATCATTACGTTTTGTTACTCTATCTATCAGGTTGTTACTCTCCGCTTCTTCACTAATACAGACGTTGCTTTGTCTGTTAGAATCTTCTGCATCTGTCAGAGATATTTTATGCTAGAGACATTTTTAGTACTTAAATTGTAGAGTTGACTAGCTGTCTGAGCAATATCTGACATTTTCTTTGATAAGTCTTAAACTTATCAATTCTTTTAGACAAACCGGATAAATCTTCCGTTGCTGAAATCATGGACTTCTCCCATTCCAGCTTCAGGTCCTGTTTGAATTCTTTAAATAAATGCTTGATAGTGTTAAGAGTCCTCTGTGGAATGAAAAGATAACTCAAAGGCTGAAATCTGCACCTCAGCCTTATCCACCTCTTCTCCACTGGAGGGGGAAGAGGGCTGCTAGTTGCTTGTTTTCAGCTCTTCCATGTAGGAAAGTTTTGATTGCTTTAGTCTGTTGTGAAGCACCACTCCTGGACATTTTATTTCTTAGTTGCTTTTGAAGGGAATTAAATGCAGAGAAGCAGGCAATAATAGATAAAAATAGCAGCTTGGGGGACAAGCAAGGCATTGAGTGTGTCATCTTCAGCTAAAGTTAAGCCACACACTTCTCCAGGAATTTTTATTTAAAACTGGTTCTGCTGCCTGAAAAAGTTTGAAAATCCCTTTTTTACACCATTGATGAGTGTGTCTTCTTCAGGTACTGAAATAGATAAAGGGTGGAGAGGAGATTGAGATGCTCACCTAGGACCTGTTACTTTCACCTTCAATGCCTGGAAATGTTAATTACACTGTACTGAGTATTATGTTTTGGTTTTTGTGGGGAGAATGCCTTCAAGTCAGTGATGACTTCTGGCAACTCCCTGGACTGGTAGTCCCTGCAGTTTTCTTGGCAAGGTTTTTCGGAAGTGGTTTGCTATTGCCTCCTTCCCAGGGCTGAGAGAGGGCGGCCCACCTAAGGTCACCCAGCTGACTTTGTGCCTCAGGCAGGACTAGAACTCCCAGTCTCCCAGTTTCTAGCCTGACGCCTTAACCACTACACCAAACTGGCTCTCTGAACATTATGTAAAGTAATGTAATTTCATGTAATGAAATCAGCACTGATATCCACTGGGATGGGGTGGGGGTATCAAAAAAGGTAAGATGGCAAACATAGCATCACAATGCAAGCCCCGCCCCTTGCATATGTTGCTGTAGATGCCACTGGAAATCAGCCACCCTAACTTGTAGCACTTTGCAGAAATGCCCCTGGATTACCAGTACATGATGACAGAACAGGAATGTACAATTTATTTGGAATTAGGACTACACTTAGCCTCTGAGCACATGCCAGGGCCCCACTTCAAAATGGCCAAAATCAAAATGTGACATCAATTTTATTTAACTAAATAACAGTTGTTTAACTATGGTTAAATATGATTAGTTCCATTCATCTATTTAATCATTTCCCCCTTCATTGCAACTTCAGAAGTTCACCACGGCTTTTAAGAGCTGCAAGAAGCTTCTGGCCATTGTATGTTCTACCAATAGAAGAGAATATGTGTAGCTCAGAGTTGAACTGTGGAGTTCTTGGTGCTCTCTGAGCTTGGTTGTTTGCTTGCAGACGTTTCATTACCCAACTAGGTAACATCATCAGTGCAAGTGAGTGTGGGGTTTTCTCCGTTTGAATACAGTAGCTTGCCCTGCCAGTGTTGGTGGGGGGTGTGGTTTTCTTCTTGGTAGTTCCTTGATTAGGGTATTGTTTTCTGCTTGTTTGCCTGATGTTAATCCCTGCTTATCTGGGTGTCGGCTGCTGGAGGGGATATGTTCTGGTCTTTGTGTGTCCTTCTTAGCTTTTTATTGTCTCTTTTGAATGGTGTGTAAATATTGTTTATCCCTATGTGCCTGTTGATGGCTGATTTGTCTGAAGACCAAGCTTCCAGGAATTCCCTTGTGTTTTTGGATTTAGCTTGGTCTAGGATGCTGTTTCCCAGCTGAAATTGTGGTTGAGTCTGTCTATGTGTTGTGACATTGAGGTTTTTTTTCGTGTCTCCTGACTGCTAGTTGGTGTTCATGGATGCACTCTGCTAGTCTTCTGCCTGTCTATCCTACTTCAAACTGAAGTCATTTTACATTGTTTAGGCACTGGAAGCATTTCTACACATTAGTAATCTATAATTTAGCACTAAACTATAACTAGCATTAGGGGAAGGAGCAGAAAGAAACCTATGTGAAGCAGTAGGTTTGAATAATTCCCCTCTCCTTTCCTACGGTCAGGAGAAAGAATAAGCCAGAATTCAGTTTTCTTTCTTTAACAAATTACTAGCTTGTCTTTATGCATGAATCAAGAATTGGGTGTAAAACTCTATTACATAAACATCCAAACAAAGCAATCCAGATGTGTTGTCACCTTCTGCTGCACTGCTGAATGTGGGTGTGCTGGCACATGGTTTTATGAAGTGATTCTATTCCTTTTTTACTCTCAACACAAGGATTCTTCACAGAGTAGCATGCATTGCTGTAGAACAGTTAATATTGCAGGACTAGTGGCAAGAAAACGGGGACGCGGTGGCGCAGCGGCTTAATGACACTGAAAGTTGCCAGCCAGAAATGGTCGACGCTTCAGCGGTTCGAGTCCAGCCTTCGCGTTAGCAGGGTGAACTCCTGTTTCCTCCCCAGTTCCTGTAAACCCAACAGTTCGAAA